AATTAAGTGCTTTGTTGAATCGGAACCTGTGTGACAAAATTAATATTGCTATCTATGCAAAATCAACATTCATCCTCTAGTAAAGAATCTTTAGAGATGCTTAGGGGCCTAATCCAGAGCTCAGTGGGAGTATTTTCATTGTCATCAGTGAACCGTGGATCAGCCCGTGGCATAGGATATAATATTCTCATGCTCCAAACTACTCACTAGTGTAAATAATCCACTTAAATCCTTTTCTGGGGGGGGGGGAAATCAATATTTAAATGATTGTAAATCTTAAATGAAAATGTAATTCAAATTTTTCATCATGTTATGTCCTGACTTCTGCAAGCAGAATATGCAGTAAGAATGCACACCATTTTTTATTTAATTTGATCAGACCATTTTTTTAATATTTTTGGAAAATAAATAAGAACATTTTAAGAGAGATTTTTTTTTTTGATGCATCACTTCCCTGTTTTTTCAGCAGCTCTTTAGGACATAGAAATATTTGGATTTCCAATTTTGAATTTCAGAGGGATTAAAATAGGAAGAATTAATTTTAAAATGAAAATGTTTGTCGTTTCATGAACATACTTCCCCTGTTTTATTGCAGTTTTATTATCATTATCATTTCCAATCCCAACTGAGTAGACATCACCCAGATAAAATAGTTCAGTAACAGCTCTTTCATAGCATTATAGCCCATGCTATCTGCAGTGGCTTTTACAGATGACAGCTGTACCAGGTCTCTAGTGCCTCATGTACCTTTTACATTTCTACACAAGGTTTGAACAGAGCTGCCTTGGGAAGCAGATTCTTTTTACCATTACATTTTAAAAATTATTTACATTATTTTACCACTTTTAAGTGTTTTCATTTCATTTCCATTTATACCTATCACCCACAGGCTACAGTTCGGATTTTAAACTCCCATTGATTTCAACAAGATCAGGAATTTACACGTAGTAATGCATTCAACAACACAGCCCAGCCTTGCTGCATGTCTTGAGTATTTTTGTTCTTGATCTGGGGGTTGGTTTTGTGTTTTTGTGTGTTTTTTTTTTTTTGTTTTTTTTTTTTAAGCCTGTAGCAAGAAACTGAGGAAACGGACTGGGTTTGTTGGTGCTGATCAAACTAGGGCTAAGTTTAACAGGTTTTGTTCAGCACAGTGTTCTGGTTGCGTTAGATTTTTGTCTGCTTCCTTTGTAAGAGTAGTAGTTTATGGTTAAACAGCAAGGATATAAAATCCTGACTTGGATGCAAGATAGAATAAATTTCGGGCTTAACATATGAAGACATGATCTATCTTTCCAGTGGCTTTGGAATTGGAGCTCTACAACTATCTTTTCAAGTTTTCATTTAACCCTTAAAGAGTATTTCAGGCTAGTTCATCTTACTTTCACTAATCATTTTGGGGTTTTAGAGGCAGTGAAATTAATTATAGAACATAGTTTGATGAAATATACATACTTTATACTGACAGAATTATCTTTGACCTCACACAAGGGTCCAAATGCACATTTTCAACACCTATAGTAAACCCCAGTCCCACAAAATTTTGACATGTTCTTAACTTTATGCATAGTGATTTTTGGTGTCAGCTTTATTTTTGCAATTGTCCAGTCAAAATTTGATACTACCGTATGGCAAAATTATAGTATATGAACCTTACAGAAGACTTTTTCTTTCTGACCTGTTGCCCATTCAAAAAAATCTGTCCTTTTATTTGCGTCTAGTTAAATAAGTCAAATTACATGATGGTTGAAGACGATAAAGAGAACAAAGACAATTCATCTGAAAGAGGTAGAGCAGCCATCATTTTTTCCTTAAAGAATGAAGTTGGAGGACTTGTAAAGGCCCTAAAACTCTTTCAGGTATGTACTCAACACACTTCTCCAGAAGATTTAAAAAAAGAAAAAATATATAGAGACTTAGCACATAGCATAATTATATTCTTTATTTAACAGGGACCTAGCCTTTAAATACTGTCTCAACTTGGATCCCATAATTAACCCATGTCTGCAGAAGGTAGGGGCTGGGGCAGAAGACCTCAGATGCTGCGAAGTTCAGCACTTAACCTAGCAGCTTGGGTTTATTTGGTACTGCTTGCTTTGCTTATCTCCTGAAACTGTCCTTGATGGTGACAGCCATCTTGCAGTAGGAGGGCTGGTTGAATTCTTTTCTGGACCCACAAAAAATAATCTTTATCAACTGAAGAGGCTGCATTGTTGTTGTGTGTGCTGAGGAATATCTGACTCTGAATCTTAGCACAATGTCTGTATAGGATTTTCAGTGTTTGGGGTGAGTGAGGAGTCATCACAGGGTGGATTACAGCATATAACTGTACTAGCTTTAATCTACTTAGTTTGTATAACAATAGCAGTGTTGACCCCATGGCACAGACTTCAGTGTAGGCTGCAGAAGCCTACTGTGACTGTGAATACTAGGTGCGTCTCTGGATTTCTAATCCCTGCATTTTCACTACCATTGTTACTCTAGCTAGCTAGATTAAATGTAGAAGGGTATATGCCTCTACATGCTGCAGTTGTACCTCTAGTTGCAGCATGGAGTTTGTGCAATATTGCTTAGAGACCCTTATTTATTCATGTTTGTAGAACCTATTGAGAGAGACCTTGCTTTCAGATTAACTTAATGTTACTAATGGAAAACACTCATTTTTTAGCATCTCCTTTGTTTGAAAAGGAAACAAATGTATGGTGACTTGACTGTCACTCGGTGATTTACACTGACTCAATTGCTAATCAATTTTTCTGTCTACTATAACTGACCTGCATATTTACTCTGTCATTATTCAATGGAAAGTTTGGCAGAAAAATAGGATTTGATCCACTTTATTATGACTTTCTCTGTTTGAATAATTTAAATACAGTATATTTCTACTGTATTACCTTCTATGTCAAAACAAAAAAATAGCCCCTCTTTAATTTTCTATGGTAATTTTCTAGACTGTTTCTATGGAAGTTTTTAAACAAACCATCTTATCTTTTTTTAATAAATAAACTGCTATCTATACAACTGGCTGACTAAAATGACTTCCTAGAGCTACTGCCAAGCGGCAGAATATTTGTTTGGCAAACAGTATAGATTATCTAATCAAGCTGTCTTAACGCTGTTTCTTATGAACAGGAGAAACATGTGAATCTGGTTCACATCGAGTCTCGAAAGTCAAGGCGAAGAAATTCAGAGTTTGAGATCTTTGTGGACTGTGATAGTAACAGGGAACAGCTGAATGAAATCTTTCACCTCCTGAAATCCCATGTTAATATTGTGTCTATGAATCCAGCAGATAGCTTCACTGTTCAGGAGGATGGTAAGTAAGAAGGGATGTTTTAAAACATCTCTAATATGTTGATTTAAAATATTTTTATGTCAACCATTTGGGGAATTAGTTTGCTGTACCCCCATGACTTGTTATGCTTTCTGTTGGAGGAGCTCAGGTTGGATGTGCCAGTTTTGTTTCGTTGAAATCAGTTGGGCTGTGTAGATTTATATTAAGTGAGAATATATTTCCCCATTTCAAATTGGTACAAGTTATCCCTGACTGCACATCACACCCATTCTGACTTCCTTGTAGAAGGGCTTCCATATTCCCTCCCCCATGCAGAGATGCCCTCTTGTACTCTTTTTCTCATGCTGAAACTCCTACTTCATGAAGTCCTTGTTTTATCCAGGGAATGTTGATCTTTCCCCTTGTTTCCATCTTGTCCTTTTTTCCCACTGTGGGAGGTAGAGCCTGGGGTTAATACTGAACTCATGTGTGGAGGAAAAAAAAATCCTTAATTGGGGAAGGGAGATCCACCCAAGAGAATGGTTATATAGCAGTGCAGCATAACAGCCATAGCCTCAGTCTCATTACAAAAGGCGTGGGTGAAGTAAGAGATTTACAGCTGTTGAGGTCTGGATCAGTGCATGGGTAGTAGTTTAAATGTGAGGCCTAACTGGGTGAGAGTCAAGGGTATAGAAAGTGGGTCCAAGATGACAAATGTACAGTGTCCGCAGACTTGCACATTTGAAGCATCATTCCAGACCAGGAGCTGGTGTGATGCCTACGCAAGGGTTCTTGCATGTAATTCCCTCAGGTAGGAATTCTAATTCTCTGCTGCTCTGCATCTTGGATTTTATTGCCACTGCTCAGAGTGGGTGCAGAGTACTGACAGTCTAATTTGGGGGAATTTGTACCCATTTTTGCTTTGACTGTGACTCAGGTTTGCAGAAACAACCACCCACAGGCAGGGCAACCAGCTCATAGTAATGTCAGAGGAAAAAAAACAGACTTAAAGGCAGTGTGGGCTTACTGCACATCTGCTTCTCTTACATATGTGCATGCTTGCTCTAACTGCATGGTTTGTAGAAGATGAACTGAGGTAGCTTTGTTTCACTGTCTAGTAGAATGGGACACCTCTCCCTTGGGACCTCTAGACATTACTATAGCACAAATAGAAATAATAAAAGCCACAGAAAAACCATGTTAGTTCCAGGCCTTTAGTGTTAACTGTTTCCTTCCCCACTATTTTTAGTGACTCCCTTTTCTCTAAACAGAATGTTTTATTGACACAGGAGGAAGTGATAGATGCTGTGTTGGTGCCAGATAGGCAGTGGGCTCTTTATTCTTTCTTTACTTTATGAAGTTCACTTGTAACTGGTATTTCCTCTTTGAATGCACTTAATTTTATTAATAACTCTGTGGATGTCATGCATTCCTTAGACATGGAGAATGTCCCCTGGTTTCCTAAGAAGATCTCAGATTTGGATAAATGTGCAAACCGCGTTCTGATGTATGGGTCTGATTTGGATGCTGACCACCCAGTAAGTAGCTTCTCTACTGTTTGCAACAATAAATGAAAACAGATCATGTTTTTCTTTTCTTTTTTTTTTTTTCTTCAGTAGCTTTATGGTTTGGGGAATGTAATACCTAAGAACTTCAGCCTGTTGTTTTTGCTTAGGCATAGCTCTCATTGATTTCAATTTCAGTAGATTTTTTTTAAGAGGAGTCTGGCTGGAGTAAAATGGCAGGCTCAGGCCTGAATAGTTGAGAGGAATGGGTTTTTTTTAAGTAATTTTTCTCCCTTGTTGTTAGCATATTTCCTGCTTGCCACTATAAAAAGAAAAACTACATTGACCTGATTAAGAACAATCAGTTAAATTCTGTGATTAAGAACAATCAATTAAACATCAGTGTTGTGTAAGTGACAAGAAAGGAATCCTTGTTTACAGAATATGTGCATAACCCTTGATTTAGCCAATGAAATTGCTGATTGTTGGTTTAATTGGGGAACACATTTATTAAATGTTTCACTTAACATTTAGCAGGCTCCTATCTTGACCATCCATTTTCACAGAACATGCTTTCACTTTAATGCTTATATTTCCTGCTTGTGTTTAAGTGACAGAAACTCAACCACCCCTTTTCTTTATTGAATAGGCTTATTTGTTGCAATGATAGAAATGTATTCATTTTTCTCCACTTGCAGGGTTTCAAAGACAATGTGTATCGTAAGAGGCGAAAGTATTTTGCAGACCTGGCTATGAAATACAAATAGTAAGTTTATCTCCTTTCAAAATAGGTCTCCTTTTGCTCTGCAATAATGAAGTGGATGAAATAACAATAGTTTATGTTCTCCTGACCTGGGTTTGGCACCTTACTGCTCCTTGCCAAGTAAAGCACCTTACTGCTCCTCTGACTCCTAGTTGGATTAAAGGTCAAATCATAACTTAATCACTGCTGGCTAGTTATGCCAGCTAGAGGGGTTACACTGCAATGTTTGCACCTTTTAGGAATTAGTGGCATGCAGTACATGTTGGTGATCTCGTGCCTTTGTGCTCACTGTCCCAGCTTCCGCAGACATGTCCTATAACTGAGGGCATGGGGAGCACATGGTGTAAAACTGTAAGCTTCATGGTGACTTTGTGGGTAGACATCTGTTGTTGGAATGACTTGCAGAAGTTGGAATTAGGAGTTAGTATCTAGCCTGCTGACTATTTAAATATAAATGAAGCAAGAAAATTAACCATTGCTCTAGTTATTCAAACTAGTCTATTAGATACAGTAGATTAGAAAGGCTGAATGAAAGGGGACTTAGTATTTAAGACACTACTGCAGGATCCCCTTGTGTCAGATACAATTATCCTCTTACCCATTGCTATAATTTGCCTCTGAACTTACTTTTCATATTGATGTTGCCTATCTGGATTGGTAACTGTCTCCATTGGGAATGACATAGAAATGTTATAAGAACCACAGCAACAGCATATGCTAATACAATCAACCACCATTATAGGAAAACAGTATTGTTAAGTCATCATTATATTTGACACAATTTTCCTTGGGAGGCTAATGCTTATCACATTTGTTACTCAGGCCATGTTAGAATCATGATATAGCTTTCTCATTGCATTCAATGGGCTTTGGATCATGCCCTCATTAATCCAGCTTAATCAAGAGCCAGAAGGCTAATTAGAAGTGATAGGCAATGTTTAATACATTATGACAGATACTCATCACTCCTGTATCAGAGCATGATTTTTCACACACCAAATGCACATTTAGATGTTTAGATTCATTGTGATGTTAACCTAAATAATTATCTTTCCTTTTAAAGAACTCAGAAAGGATGATGAACAATTCTCATGCACAGGTTGAGAGCTCTTCTAGGAGAAGTAATGTGGTGTTAGCTCCTGATCTGTAGAGTGTTTAATTTTACATCCAGTGTGCAATGCTAAGCTCCTAAGTAAACTTTTTGCAAGGTAGGGATTTTAAAACCTGACCCAGTTCCCCTGAAGTCAATAGAAAGTCTTGAATAAGAGTTATGTCAAACTGTTAGACTTTTTAGCAGAAGTCTCATCTTCCTGGGGTTTGTATTATTCCTTTTCAGTGGGATCCTAATCATGACTGGGCCTCACAGAAATATAATGACTGCTAAATAAATAAACTATGCATTTCGGAAGACACTCAGTCCAGATTAACATACTCTCGTTGTAGTGGTGACCCAATTTCCAAGATTGAATTCACTGAGGAGGAGATCAAGACTTGGGGCACTGTTTTCCGAGAGCTTAACAAGCTGTACCCAACCCATGCCTGCAGAGAGTACCTTAAAAACTTACCCTTACTCACCAAGTACTGTGGGTACAGAGAAGACAATATCCCTCAGCTGGAAGATATATCCCGTTTCCTGAAAGGTAATGTGCTAATTTCTCTGTAATAAAAGCTATACTAATAGGAAATATGAGCTTTTGAAAAACCACTGGACATCTACCTTAAATCTTAAGGCAGTGAAATGCCTTTGACCTCCTGGCCTATGATGTGTTAAGCAACTGCCACTAAGGGGCAGCTTGATTTATCTCACTTCTTTGGCACTATAAACATGAACATACTTCCATCCAGTATGGACATCAGTGCACAGGCATTTATTGGGAAAGTGGCCGCAGCATAACATAACAACACTTTAAGGAAACTATAGTGCCCTACATGGTTTTTCTCTCTTAACTAAAGCAAGAACCTGCCCAGCATACCATATAACATTAAAAAAAAAATAAGATTTTTGTGTAACCACTGAGGTCAGTGAGTTTTATGTGCATCACAAGCAGGGTTGCCAACTCTAGGTAAATTTACTGACTGTCATTAAAAAAAATATCAGGCTAAAAATGGCTGTCAGTAGAGTCTGTTTAAAAAGACCACCAAAAAAACAAATTTTATCTGTCAATAAAAACACTAAGCAGTCATGGGTTGACTGAAATTCTGATAGACAGAGCATAGCAGTGCCACCTGGTATTCGAGTGGGAGCACAGTGCCCTGCAGGGAGCATCCTCTCAGCCATGTGCTGCTGCAGCTGTGTCCCAGACTGCCAGTAGTACTGCTGGGTTGCTAGTAGGCTCCTTTGGTCCATTGCAGAACTATGGGAGTGGGACTGGTGGGGGTAAGGCTAGTTGGGCTTCGCACAGTGGTGGGGAGCAGCATGGTGTAGGGTGCAGTTGGGGGCATCAGGGTATGGGGATGAGTAAGGGGGTTGGTGGGGGGGGGAAAAAGGGTAGCACAGGATAAACCAGTCAAATAGGGCTGTCAGCTCTAGAACATTTTGCCTTAAAAAAAACAAAAAAAACCCTTTTTACTGGTAACCAAACTTTTTTTATCATGGTTAATGTTAAATGCCTAAATTTGAACCAGCCCTTCTAAGTAGGGCCTGGCAGAAGACTTACATTTACATTATATAAAACATATCAGTAAGAACATGCCAGTAAAAAAGTTTGGGTGCCAGTAAAAAAGCTTGCAGATTGTTAGTAAAACCATAAATTCTTGATTTGGCAGTACTGGTCACAGGCCACATTGAGAGGAGTGCAACAGTGTGGTATGTGGCACTGCAGATGCATTCAATTGTTTTCCACATTGCAAGGGAACAGCACAGAGGGTTGGTTTTTTGTTTTTTGTCTTTTTGACCCCTGGATATCCAGGGGTCAAAAAAATGCAGAAAAAAAGAAAGTGGAGTGGTGCATGCAGCGGTACTGTGTGCCACCCAAAGCTGGATCCTGACTGGCTGGAGCTGTGCTCTTCTGCTGGCCAGGCTCTGTGTGGCAGGATTTCTACTGCTGCAGCCCTGGGAGGCCCCCAGATAAGGCTCCTGGCACCACCCCAGTGCTGGCCCCAGCTTCTCCAGCCCCACCGAGTGTAACTTGCCACACACCAGAGCACATATGGCACAGGCATTCCCTGGGGTCAACTAGCAGCAGCACAAGTTGTGGTGCTGCTAGTTGTCCCTGAGGAACCAAATGTCCGTGCATGTCTGGACATGGCCAGGGAGTATATACAGCCTGAAGAGTGCACATTTTAAAAACGCCATGTTTTAATATTTTTAATAAATATCTGCTCCGAGAAGAAACCACCTATCTAAAAAGCAGGTGCTGTGCAGTAGATTTTTCTTTTACTTGAAGTCTTTAAATTTGGTTATCTTATTTCTTTTGCAGAAATAAAATATTCTTTGTTATTCAGGAGCTCAGACTAGATGATCAAAATGGTCCTTTCTGGCGTTAAAATATACGAATCTATGAATGTGAGTGCTCTGTAGTTCTGAAGTATAGCAGGGCACTTGGAGGTGCTTGCTCCTTTAAGAGAGCAAGCAAACTGCTTGCAGATGGCAGAGGGGAGCTAATAAGGGGATCACCTGCGGGAAGGAGGCTCGGGCCAGAGCCTATACTGGTCAGGTAGTCTCTCCCCAGCCACCATGCAGGGAGGAGCTTCAGGTTGCAAGGCAGCCATGTCCCTGAAGGAAACTGGTTTATATTGAATGACTGCAGACTGGGGAGTTGAGGCAAGTTACCTGGGTTGAGAGAGAGTGGGTTTTTATAGGCAAGTGGCCTTGGTTTTGTTAACTCCAGAGGGTTGAGGTGCTTACTAGAGGATCTGAGAGCTCAAGAGGGCCAAGTATGCAGGCCAAGGAAGAGTCCCGGGCGGGAAGATGTGCCTGGGAGGAGATGAAGAAAGTTTGCCCTCTTAAGGGGGCAGAGAGCTGTTTCAACTACTGTTGTGCATCTGTTATAGGCCAGGGACTTATAGTTTTGTTACTGATCACACTGGTGGTTTTGAGCTGGGACTGTAAGGGGTGGTTTTGGAGGTCTCATTAGTGCCTGTGAGGCATGTGATTGCCTTGAGCTCCTACCAGGGGCAGGGTCAAGGCCTGAGCTGTTGTTGAGCCTGGTGAGGGGCAGTACAAGGCTACAGAGCAGACGGGCCAAGGTCCTAGTTCCCAAGAGGGGCACAACAAGACAGGCCAGAGGCCCGAAGCAGATAGGGGCCAAGGGCCCAGTGCCAGAGGAGTGCAGCCATAGCATGTCAAGAGCCTGGCAAACAGAGGTCAGGGGCCCAGAGACTGGACACGATAGAGGGATGCTAGTGCCACAAAGCAAGGTCTGATTCAGTGGGCCTAGGTGAACAGGCCTAGTTAGATTAAAAGGGGTGAAGACTGGGGTAGCTGATGCCCCAGAGGGAACAATGACATTGTAACACTGGCAAAGCTTGGGGCATGGTGTGGGGAAGGACAAGGAGCCATGCAACTTGACCCTAAGGCTACAGGTGCCCTACAAAGGCCTAGTTGAGCCAGGAGAGACTTATTAGGGATTGTGGCTCACTCTGAAGCCTGTTGGTAGCCTCCCTTTATCACTCTTTAATAATAAGATTAAGGCATGGCAGACAAGTGAACTAGAGAGAGAGGTCACAGAGTTTGAGCCAGATGGGAGCTGCAGTTCCACAAGGAGGTGTTGCGGCTGCCCGTATGGGTTTGTGACCTGTTACATGAAGACAAAATAATAAAGCACAGGAGAGAAAGAAGAATCATTGCATAATTGGAACACTGAATATACTGGTATGAAGAGCAAGGCAGCTCATCAATATATGATTTTTATGCAAATAAACCATAAATACGAACCCAAATCTCTTGTGTTCACCCCTCTCCCTCCTGGTCCTTTATTACGTCTCACACTTTTTTATTTATTATATCCTGCTATAATAATAGTAATGTCTATAGATTCATCTGTCTCAGGTCATCACTGATATTTTTTTCCCCACATAACTAGTATTTACTCCAGTCATAACAGGAAAACACAGTTAAAAATGTTGTCAAATTCTACACTGAAGTGACCTATGATTTATCTGTTGTTTTTCAGAGCGCACAGGTTTCACCATCCGTCCTGTTGCTGGATATCTGTCGCCCAGAGATTTCTTGGCAGGCTTGGCATTCAGAGTCTTTCACTGCACTCAATACGTTAGACACAGCTCAGACCCTCTGTACACCCCAGAGCCGTAAGTTTGTTTTATTTCTGTGGATAGAAGTTAAGTATTCCCACAGATCTGTAGTTTAGCCTGGCTTATTTTAAAACCAAAAGTGTCTGTAGTTAGGGTCCTACCTGCATAATTGGGTACATGGGCAAGAATGGTCCAGTCCTCAAATGTGTCAAGGACCTGTACCTCCCACTGATTTTAGTGAGACTTGTGTGTGCCCAACACAGAACAAAATCAGGCTGCACATTCATGGGCACAAGATTTGCAAAAGTGCATAGCATTGGCCTAATGTTGTTCTTGATGATCAGTGGTAAAGGTCCCACTGACATTAATGGAAGCAGAGTAAGACTGATTTTTTTTTTTTTTTTTTTTTTTTGTGTGGGGGGGAAATCTTTTTCTACAAGTGGGTTTAAGAACTTACATTTTTTGGATGAAAATTAATGTTAGTTGAGTTAATGATACAGTTGGTCATTAAGAATGGAATGCAATATATTTGCTTGTCTTTCAGATCTTAAATTATTTTGATGTACTTAATGTTTCCATATGGCACAACCTTTTTTTTTTTTTTTGGTTTGGTGCTGCTTTTTCACTCTTAAGAAGAGATGGAAAGGTCATCATGACACAACTTCCACTTTGTTTCTTTAACAGTGATACCTGTCACGAGCTTCTAGGTCATGTCCCGCTTTTGGCTGAACCCAGTTTTGCTCAGTTCTCCCAGGAAATTGGTCTGGCATCACTTGGGGCATCAGATGAAGCTGTTCAGAAACTGGCAACAGTGAGTGTCCCAATCTCTGGCAACATGAATCCTGCTTGCATTTG